TTTTATACAAGTTTTAAACTGTATATGTATTTTTATCTACAAATACGTTGGGTAAAACATGGGTAAATGAATTAGATGATGTGTGATGAAATAAAAGGTGATGAGAGGTATCGATGTTTAAGATGATCTAGTCATCTAGCAGAGTATAGACAACGGCCACAGACTATTTTAGATAGTCCAGTGGAACGTTAGGAGACTTGTAATCGGTAGGTATGTTTGAACTATATGTTGATAAGGTGTTCTTGAACTATATGTTCATTGGGTTTTTTTGAACTATGTGTTCATCCGTTAGTTCTTCTTTTTGACACTATTACGTGTCGAGGTACGGGTGCGTACGGGAGTACTTTATTAGTATTATCCATATACCTTTATTTTGAAGAGATTTGGAGTCTTTGTTTCTTTAATGAAATGATCGAACGAGCTTCATTAGTCAGTGTTTCCATTCTCGATGCTGGATAGGGTGCGTATGGGGGTTATATACCTCACGATATTCAGACCACAGCCTAAGCATTAATAATTATCCCTCACTTAATTATCTGGTGGTTCTTTCTTTTACGAACAAAGGTTCGTGGTTAAACTTATTCCATTTATTTGATGTCTTCTTCGATCCTCGTTTGCTGCTAGAGAAATTCTGAAGCAGATTCGTTAGTTGGTTGTTCATATCGATCCTTTAGGCTAGATCTAGTAAGATCATTTTATAGGATCAGTATGTGGGGATCAACATTGTTAGTGCTTGTAATATAAACCTTGGGCAGCGATGGACTTCGTTCCTATTCCTTAGGATGAATCCTTTGTAATGAGTGATAGTTGATTTTTAGGGTAAATCCTTAAGAAATGAATAAGATAATGGAGATTGGGTAATTGGGTTGATTGTTTGTTGTTTAAGCATAATAAATTTATTTATTGTGGGGTAAAAGCCCTATATGCTCACCAGGTTTCCCAAGCCTGACCCACTCAGTTTAATTGTATCACAGGTATCAATACGAAGTTGCTTTACACTGAGAGATTAAGGAGATATAGATCACTAGTGAAATGAGTGTATGTTCTGTTTATGCTTATGTTTCTGTATTGACAATGACATCCCAAATGTTTTAAAACGTATAAAATACGTTTCTTCGGAAATGCTTTGATAACGTGTTTTATGGGAATAAATTCCACAACATTTTTATTAAAAGAGGTACTCTGGTTTTCATAAAGCATACACAAAATCGGTCTTTTCTGGTTGTGAATTTGGGGATGTCACAGTTGGTATCAGAGCATTAGTTTAAGCGAACTACAAATTTGTAGGATTTCTAGACTTAATCTTAGAATGCTAAGCAACGATTGTGAGGAGTATGTCTACTAGATTTAGGTAATACACCTGAATAGACACAAGCACTAGCTTATTTTATGAACGATGCATAAAATGATTTATGTTATAGATATAAAGATGCCTTGTATGCTATTATTTGTTCGGATCTATGGTCTGTTGCCGTCCAGATCTGGAAACTTTATGTGTTTAGATTTCTAAATGTTTGATTACAATATTAGAACTGACATTTAACTTTTCGATGTGACAAGGAGATCTATACGTCAATCATAGATAAAATCTTTCCTATCTTAAAATTTTCTCCTCGGTACACCGAACGTCTGCTTGGGTGTGCAAAACGTCATGGTGAAGACAAACTAGGAAATATCCGAGGAGGATGACAACATGAGTCTAAGAATGTGATGGGTCATGCATCGGTCGTTGCGCCTGCACCCAAACCTATCAAAATGGTAGACGATCAGGAAGTCATGCGAACCATGATAGACTGAGAAAATAGAGGAAATGAGATGGCTTACGATAGTGAATGATCCTATCGGAAGATATCATAAGAGAGGTATCTTGCCTTTAGAATACATCTGATCAAATAGCAGTACATCCAGAGAAGTACGGTACATCTGAATGTACACATTTGATTGGTGGGATGATAGAACGATTGGTGTAATTCCTAAAGTTTTCCTATCATCTGGAATTTACATCACCAACCGAGTGGAAGCAGAATTGATGATTGAAGATACGCCTGGAAGAAGTCCTAGTAGAGTCTAGGGAAATTTTTATGATTATTTGGACACACTCGTATGTGTTAAACTGTTTTGTGATTTTAGGACTTGGGGACTGTGAGACAGTACTTGGACGAGTATGAGTAGGTGTGAAAGGTAATAGATGCATATACTACCGGAAGCACATGAATCACGCTTGGATCAGGGAAAGTCACAAGGTTACCAAGAAGCCAATAATTGATTCCGTTTGATTCAAGCATGTCGTTACCATCGTTTTGGTAATGACTAAGAATATGATTGTTATTCCGACCCTAGTGGTCATATCAAATGGAGTCCGACTACAATGAGTATGTTACGTGGTTCAGAGAGCCAAGTTCGATGTAAAATCTGACTTAAGCCATAGGATTGAAGTAAAAGATAATCGAAGTGATCAGTAGAGGTATTGCGATGGTTGCTTGTAGCTAGAAATGCTACCTTTTAAGATGTGATTAGAACATGATGGAAGGTATAGTCTGTTTTAGAATTTGACTCTAAAAGACCTGAGTCCAGGCAATACATCATACGATGAAAGGTCATTAGAACATGACCTATGGGTCTATTATGATAATCAAAGGAAGAAAATTATCTCAAGTTTGTTATAGAAGGAGTGTCCAATAAAGATCAGATCGTGACATGAAGGTCATGATTGGAAGTATAACATGAGATAGAGAGCGGCTCCAAGATCGGGTACCACCTGCAGTCAGGAAGTCTTAGAGTTAGATACTCGTTCGAAGGAACATCAGTTACGGTTATTACTTAGGATGAAGAGATAACATATGAGTTATCATATGAGCCCTGTTTCGTTGATGATTACGGGATGTAATCATCCTAAGGGGGAGATAATTGTAACGCCCATAGATCCGGACTAGTGAATTTAGAGATAATAGGGGTCGAAAACAACTTTGCGACAAAAGATTATTTATAAAAAATAATCTTAACCAAGTTGTAGAATATGTCTCAAGGGTTCCGTACATATAAAGAACGCCGAAATCCGAGTTATAACAAAGAAGTTATGGCTCGTCGAAGTTTTTCGGCAAAACCGACACGACACCAGGAGACATAAATAGTGAATTTAAGATATATGACTTTTTAGCCTTAGGGATCTAAATGAAAGTTGTAGAATACGGCTCCACCTACGCGTGGATATAAAGAGCGTCAAAAACGGAGTTCGTATGCAAAATTTATGGTATTCCGAAGATTTAGCTTTTAAGAACCCTAAACTAGATAATTCACGACGTGAGTTTTATGACGCTGAAGACATTCTGTCATAATTCGGAATCTAGAAGCTGCGAGAGTATAAGATCCAATTCACGACATGAGGTTTATTACACTCACAACGTAAGGTGTCATGACCACCATCCAAAGCTAGGGACGCAAATGGCAAGTCTACAGAGTGAATCATGAGACTCACGATGTGAGCCTTATGACACTAACGATGTGAGTGTCATAAAATCATACTATAAATACCATTTCGACCCCAAGGCTTAGTACACTACAAGAAAACAACCCTTTAATGACGCATAAACAATGACACTCGCTGATAGACGACGTGCATTTGTAAGTGCCCTAAAAGATAATGTCAGTTTTGCAAAATTTGAAGAATAGAGGGCACGCATTTGTGCGCGCCCTAAAATTAGTGTCAGAAAAGAAAAAAAAAAGAAATGCGGAAGGCGCCTTTCATAAAGTGTGTGTCATGTAAATGTGTCGCTTTATAAATTTTAAGTGAAACACGTGTTTTAGGCGGGAAATAAAATCGACGAAAATTACCCCCGCCTATTGAATCCCAAAAATTAATCCCCCGCCTCTTATACTTAGCAAGAAAAATCCCTAGGTCCTTCATCTTCATCTTCAGTATCATCAAACATCTACTTGATCTCCTTCTTATCAGTATCATCAAACATCTCGTTCACCGCCTTCGCCATATTTGTAACAAATCTCTCTCTCTCTCTATCTCGCTCTCTCTCTCTCTCTCTCTCTCTCTCTCTCTTCCATTAACCACAACAAATGGTTTTTCGAACACAAGTCAGGGAAAACCTAGGTCGATTCAAAGTTATCTTATAAAATCAACATTCCCTTAATTTCAATTTGATGCAGGTAATACACGACCAACTACAACTCTCTCTTTTTCTCTCTCTCTCTGTCTCTCTCTCTCTACCCCCTACTGTTCGACAACAACCTAGGCACCCACCACCCTTCGTCTTCTCTCTGGTTCACCACCACCACCAATAAAGCCCCATTATACCACAAGATTAAAGAACGAAACATTGGTTTTGTGTTTTTGAATCCCAGATCCACGAGACATAGTTCTATATGTTACTCCGTTTTGTTGCATCCGGTGTAATCTGATAAACTGTGTAATCCGTTTTGTTGCATCAGGTCTTAAGCTAAAAACGTGTACTTGGAGTACTTGGACTCCTGCTCAGTATGAAGCTCTCCTTAAAGGAGGTGAACAAGTTACGTCTGTTCTTGAAGAGATGGCTAACCTTCTAAGACATGCTTTAACTCCAACTTCAAATTCCTTACTTTATTGAATTTCTCTCGTTGTGGCATTTCATCAGTGATTTGGTGGGCACATGAAAAAAAATATACTTTTACGTCGATTTTACCCAAATCGTCAAGCATTTGACTTTGTAGAATTGATTTGGAGACCATTTCATTTCATAACCATCATAATTGAAATTCAACCCAATGTCTATTTATACAACAGTTGGAAGATGACCAAATGGATGAAGAATCTGAGGAGTTAGGGTGCTGTTGGCTGCACAAAGCGTGATTGGAAAACAAGTTGATCAGATGGAATCAGGCTTATGATGGCATTAGATTATATGATTAAGTTAGAGGTTGAAGATCATAAATCGAAGGTTGAAGTTTAGATTTGGGATTAGAAGTCGGAGGTTCATGGTCAGATTGGAAGCATCGGAAATTAGGAAGCAAAAATGGAAGAGGCCCCAGGTTTGAATATCATTCTCTTCTTCTCCATGTATGTACTCTAGGTTTCTTTCTCTTACTTTATCATTTTCTTATGTAATATCAGAACTATTGGTGATATATCACACACTTAATTTGTCTACTCTTAAAGCTGATTTGGAGGGTATCGCCGTGAACACGAATCAGTCTATGTTAGGTCAGTTACTGATGCACGCCCACAAGGTGTTTCACATAATGTCTATGTTAGCTTTTCACCCAGATGATACTACTTTTGGCTACCTTTCATGTCAATATGCACCAAAAGGACTCGAGAACAAGATAATTGAACTACAAGACTTGGAATTTAGGTTCAGTTTTACTACTAAATCAATGTTTATTTGTGATGGCTGGTTAGCAGCTATTCAACTTGTTAATAGTTTCATCAAAGATGGTGAAATGTATTTTGTTTTAATTAAGGATACCCTTAGTTATTAAGTTTGACATCTTTCTTTGTTATTGCTGTAGGTTTGACAACCAAAGCAGAAACTCTATTTGTCATGTTATTGAAGCTGGGGTATGGTCACTATAGGCATTGAAGGAGATGGACAAGGAAATGTCTCTAATTCCACCATGGAATCGATTTTCTAAAAAAGCTCTGGATTAACTAAAAAAACTATGATTATCAATATGAAGAATATTTAAGAGGACATGTTTGCTAATGAGGTGGCGAATGCTAATGCTCAAGTCTCTAGTCCAAAGGCTAAATGAGAATCTAATCAGGTTATAAATTGTTGTGTGTATTATATTTCTATATTATATATTTAGAAATTCTTATTTTTTCTTAATATGTGTTATTTTAGAACACAAGTTCTTTGGGTATCACATCTGCAGCTTCAGCTGAATCTTGAAAGTTCCATGGTCTGTAATCCAAGTGGTCTAGATACTGAAGAACCACTACAAGTAGTAGTTTTCGACTTGACAATCTGTGAATTGGGTTCTCTTATAACCCACGTACTGAAGAACCACTCCCGATCAGCAGCCTCCCCACCTCCTGCTATTGGTTTACAAAATCCTTACAATCCACGTGCTTCTCATGTGATTAGCATGATCACCAGAAAGGAATTGATATTTGAGGTATCTCAATCTAACTTTTGTATATGTAATATATTTATTATGCCATTGAGTTTTTTTATGAGAAATTACAACTTTTTATATGCAGCAGGCCAATAATGATTCAGGTTCTGTGGAGCTCCATTCAACTAGTGTAATGCCCCTATGATGCCTACTTGGACTGCATTTCATTACCTTATTGCATATACAACTACGAGATTCTATTCTAACTAAAATCTCTATCACTTTGATATGTGTGAAGATTGAAGACGCATCATGTATTAGGGAAAAAATTGTAACTTTTTGTGTTACCCAAGAAGGAAAAATAAATGAAATTCCCTATGTGTGGTTGAGGACTTCAATATATGATGCCCTAATAAAAAAAACAATGCTATGATTACATGTATTTTTCAATCACATTGCCTTGATAAGAAAATAATTGAAAGTATGATGTTTTGTTACAATACACAACTAAATGAATTAAAAATGCAGTGTTGCTGTTTCATGCATTGAACTTGTGGATAAGTTTTTGCATAAGATGCTATAGTTGATGATATCCATTAGGACCAACTTTATCGAGGTGTTTCTCTGTAAGTAAAAAAATAAAATATTTACTATTTATATATCTTTTTTTTTACAGATACATATTTAATTTTGTTCAAATTTTTGGTGAGATTAGGTTAGCAGAAGCACTTGATATGTAACCACCTGTGATGCCAGAGGATGGTCACACGAGGCTCACAATAGGTGATGATGTCTCATCTCCTGGTACTGGAAAAGAGGCTTCTGTTGCTCAAGCTTTATGGGATGATGAAGATACAAAAAAAGTTTTTATGAATGTTTACCTGATCTCAGGTATGCAAGTGTTTACTATAATACATTTCAAAACCACAAATTGTAATAATGAGAAAAAAACACATTTTTTTTTGTTTCTAGGGCATTTGTTCCTGCTGTGTTATTGGGAGAAGCAGAGCAAAAAGGGAATGATCAGTGATCAAAAGCATCAGATCAACCAAGTGTAAGTTCTTTTATCAAAAAAAATAGCAACAAAGTTTTTAATTGACATGAAATAAATATATTATGCAGGACTCAACAACACCTGAGTCTGATCAAGGTCAGATTGCTGCCCGAGATACTGCAGAGACATCTGTAAGTGAGAAAAAGAAAGATGATGACGAAAAAGATAAAGGAAAAGAAAAAGAAAAAGAAAAAGATTGTGAAACAAAAACTGAAATTGAAAAAGATAAGCTTTGTGGTCCTGAAGGAACCAACTTAGATGGCTTAATACAGAGGCTTCCTGGCTGTGTGAGCCATGACTTAATTGACCAACTGACTGTAAGTCCTCTTCCCTCCATAACATAAATTTTCCTTACAGACTCTCTCTACTTCCATTCTTTTAACTGTTTTTTTAATTATAATTACTTTTTAAAAAAAATCAGGTGGAATTTTGTTATTTAAACTCAAAAGCTTCCCGCAAAAAACTCGTACGCACGTTGTTCAACGTGCCCATAACATCTCTGGAACTGCTACCCTACTATTCGTGAATGGTTGCCACACTGTCAACTTGTATGAAGGATGTCCCTTCTATGCTCTTGTTGTATTTGGTATTGTGAAAGACAGTTTCTATTTGTTTTGTAGTTTTAACATTTAAAAAATAAGTTTGAATGAAAAGTATTGAATTTTAAGTAAAAGAGAAAAAGTAACCAAACAAAGAAATTACAAATCTAAGATTGATGATATACAAATACAATGCTAACTAAATTAAAAGATGAGAGTGTTAAATCTGTTATTGTTTTGCATGTGTGTTGCTCCTCCTCAGGTTATGTTCTATGGTTTAGCTGTGGTGACATTTGGTACTGCTGTTCCAGCTGGCCAATTTGTTCCAAGTATAATGATTGGATCTACATATGGACACCTTGTTGGCATGTTTGTTGTTAGACTCTATGAAAAGGTCAACATTGAAAAAGGAATGTGAGTTCACTTCACACTCATCTTTTATCTTTTCTTTATATATATATATATATATATATATATATATATATATATATATATTTCCAGTTGATAATTTATAATTAACACCTAACAAATATGCTTTGCTTGGAGCTGCCTCGTTTCTAGGAGGTTCAATGAGAATGGCAGTCTCACTTTGTGTTATTATGGTTGAAATTACAAATAATTTAAATGTCTTACCTCTTATCATGCTTGTTCTCCTCATATCAAAAGTAAGTTTTTTTCTTTTATTTTGCTTTCAAGTTACAATTAGAATTAAATCGATGAGTACAACAAGTTTTAGTTTTGAGTTTTGAGTTTTGACCATTTACCTTCCTTAGGCTGTTGGTGAAAGTTGACAGGTTTGTAACTTTGTCACTTCACTCGTGTGGTGAAATTTGCTGATGTAGCCGCTATTATGAGGACTAACAGTCACAATGGCTTCCCTGTATGTTTGTCATTTTGCATTTCCTCTTCCCTTAAAGAAAAAAAAGTTAGAAGTCACATCTCTACAATAACAACACATGACATTTAGGTTGTAGATCAGTCACGAAGTGGAGAAACAATGGTAATAGGTCTTATCTTGCGCATGTATAATTATAAACAATAAAATCTTAAACCCTAAACAATTATTTTGTTAGCAGTAGCAGGCAGGCTTAAGAAGTTTATATGTTTGTGATACAATCACTTATTGGTACTTCTACAGTCGAAATTAGATTTTCAGCATAGCCCATCAAGTAGGTAGATAAGTACTTCATTGGACATTCTAATCTTTTAGGCTGAGAGGGCATTATTTCATTTGTAAGACTTTTGCATAGATAGACAGTTAATATGAACCTAATGGATGTCTGATTTGCAATTTGCAGGCACAGTCTTAGCGACTTTGTGAAGCCTGTTTCTAGTAAAGGACTATCCATATCTGATATCCATCTAACCCCAGATGATTTGGAAGCTTTGAAGGAAACGAGACTCAAGCAAAAGTAAACACACAGAGAGTTGTTGGCACATAGTAAGCTAGATGATGCAATTGTATATAAATGAGTTCATTTTTTTATAACATTTACTCACTTTTGGAATAATTATTTGTATGACATATTAGTGAAATGAATTATCTTTGTTATTTATGGTATTTTATTTTGTATTATGAGAATTTTAATGTATTATTTAATTTAAAAATTAGTAAATCTATAAATAATACTTTTTTTAAACATTTAAAATTATGATACGCAAAAATGTGTGTCATCTTCATTTATGACATGGCCTTTCTTGACAAGGGCTTTCTTGATACGCATTGCGTGTCATTAACACGCGCGTCGTAAGGTTACGACACGCCAATGTGTGTCGTCTTCCTTTATGACAGGGCCTTCCTTGATACGCATTGGGTGTCGTAAACGCGCATCGTAATTGTGCGTCGTAAATGAGCATCGTAAATGGGCGCCGTCTATAGACGACGCGCAAAAGCGCATCGTCTCTCTTTATGATAGGGCCTTCCTTGACGCGCATTTGCGCGTCATCTGAGCCTTTTATGATGCACAATGAGCGTCGTAAAACGCTGTTTTTCTAGTAGTGGTACACCAAATCTTCCTTCTCTCTCTCTCTCATTTTCTGAAGCCGTTCCGCGTCTCGAGCCCGACACAACCCATTGACTGTTTTTAGATTCTATCTACTCCCGCTACTAAGGTGAGTGTATAGTCACTTTCACCTTACACATATATATGAAGGATTTTCTTTAAAATACGTTCTAAATGTAATTATATTAATTGTTTAATTAAGGTGACTGTTGAATAGATGTTTTATACAAGTTTTAAACTGTATATGTATTTTTATCTACAACTATGTTGGGTAAAACATGGGTAGATGAATTAGATGATGTGTGATGAAATAAAAGGTGATGAGAGGTATCGATGTTTAAGATGATTTAGTCATCTATCAGAGTGTAGACAACGGCCACAGACTATTTTAGATAGTCCAGTGGAACATTAGCAAACTTGTAATCGGAAGGTATGTTTGAACTATATGTTCATAAGGTGTTCTTGAACTATATGTTCATTAGGTTTTTTTGAACTATGTGTTCATCCGTTAGTTCTTCTTTTTGACACTATTATCTGTCGGGGTACGGGCGCGTACGGGAGTACTTTATTAGTATTTTCCATATACCTTTATTTTGAAGAGATTTGGAGTCTTTGTTTTCTTAATGAAGTGATCGAACGAGCTTCATTAGTCAGTGTTTCCATTCTCGATGCTGGATACGGTGCGTCTGGGGGTTATATACCTCACGATATTCAGACCACAGCCTAAGCATTAATAATTATCCCTGACTTAATTATTTGGTGGTTCTTTCTTTTACGAACAAGGGTTCGTGGTTAAACTTATTCCATTCATTTGATGTCTTCTTCGATCCTCGTTTGCTGCTAGGGAATTTCGGAAGCAGTTTTGTTAGTTGGTTGTTCATATCGATGCTTTAGGCTAGATCTAGTAAGATCATTTTATAGGATCAGTATGTGGGGATCAACGTTGTTAGTGCTTGTAATATAAACCTTGGGCAGCGATCGACTTCGTTCCTATTCCTTAGGATGAATCCTTTGTAATGAGTGATAGTTGATTCTTAGGGTAAATCCATAAGAAATGAATAAGATAATGGAGATTGGGTAATTGGGTTGATTGTTTGATGTTTAAGCATAATAAATTTATTTATTGTGGGGTAAAAACCCTATATGCTCACAAGGTTTCCCAAACCTGACCCACTCAGTTTAATTGTATCACATGTATCGATACGAAGTTGCTTTACGCTGAGAGACTAAGGAGATATAGATCACTAGTGAAACGAATGTAAGTTCTATTTATGCTTATGTTTCTATATTGATAATGACATCCTAAATGTTTTAAAATGAATAAAATACGTTTTTTCGGAAATGCTTTGATACCGTATTTATCGTGTTTTTCTGGGAATAAATTCTGCAACATTTTTATTAAAAGAGGTACTCTAATTTTCATAAAGCATAAACAAAATCAGTCTTTTATGGCCGTGAATTTGGGGATGTCACACCCCCCATTACTGATCCATCACTCTATCGCATCCTCGCCAGAGCTCTTCAGTATCTCACCATCACACATCCACATATTGCCTTTGCAGTTGAGTAGATATGTTTATTTATTTATGACCCACGGGAGCCTCACTTACACACCCTCAAGCATATTTTATGATACCTATGAGAGACCCTTGATCACGGTTTGCAGCTTCATGTATCCTCCGCGTCGGATCTTCGAGCATACTCCGATGCTGATTGGGGCGAGTGTCCTGTCTCTCATCGTTCGACATCTGGGTATTGTGTGTTTCTTGGTGATAACTTATCTCTTGGTTGTCTAAGCAGCACGGGGTCATCTTGAGGTCTAGTGTAGAGGTGGAGAATTGTGGCATTGCTAAAACCATAGTAGAGACGTGTTGGGTTCGTAATTTGCTCTGTGCGCTTCGGTGTCCACCTACGAAAGCCATTATTGTCTATTGTGATAACATCAACTCCGTTTATATGACTTCGGACCCAGTTCAGCACCAACGCACAAAGTACATAGAGATTGACATCCATTTTGTTTGTGATCTGGTCTCCAGGGGCGACGTTCGAGTTTTTCACATGTCCTCTTCCGCTCAATATGTCGGCATCTTCCCCAAAGGCCTTTTGACACCTCTTTTCAACGACTTCGAATCTAGTTTAAACGTTCATACTTCTCCTCCCAATAAAACTGCGGGGAGTGTTACTAGATATGTATTTACATATATTGTATTTGTTCTCTCGTATAGTTAGTGCATGTATTTTTCGGCCCATATGTATTGTATTTGGCTATTATGGCCTTATTTTGTATGTATTAATATACCCCTTTCTAATGGAATCACTTCATCTAAAAATAGAGATTATCAATATTTCCTTTTAAGATATTATTTTAATTGAAATGGTATATGATGTCTATATGTTTCATCATTGAGTGGTGACTATGATTGTGCCATATGGTAATGACATTCTTAGAATCACAATAGACAGGCACCGTTAGGGACAGGATCTCAGTGCTACTCTGAGATCCTCATATGTAAGGATCCTCAAAGGCTCAGGGTCCTTGAATCCTAGGATCCTGACTAATATTTTTATGTATTATAATGAATATATGTTCTTTTGTCTTTATCACATGCACAGGAATAACGAGTCAAAGTCCCATTCTCAACGTATAGTCATCACAGCCATGCAAAAGACCCGAAGGACCAAGTTAAGTAAATGGCTATAAGTAATCTCGGATGATCCTGAAATTTTTGGATTTCTAGTTTTTAGGTTTTGACTATATAAAACACTTGTATTTATCACACTACACACGAGACTTAGTAGAATACTATGACTTGTACTCATAATCATTTCATTTTCTCTGTAATTTTCATTTTAATTAATGAAAACATCAAGGAAGGTAATCATTATCACCTCTCCATGTTTTATGTCGGAGATCCTAACAAGGATCAAGGGATTTCATTGCAAATGATTTCTGTTTCTTTGATTCATTTTACTTATTTGCTTCATATTACATCACAACCTCTTATACACATTGGTCCATTTTATTTCAGTTATTTTTTGACCAAAACAATTTGGTGCCGACCGTGGGCCTGTGGTGTTCAAATTGTCTCGGAAAATCATGTCTACTCAATCAACTCTCTCGTCCTCCTTGATTCCTCCCATTTCCTCTAAAAACCTTCCACCACCACTAACTGGATTTCGCAAGAAAATCTCTAAGACTCCAAAGAAGAACACCTCCCCGGTCACTCTGGGACTTATGGTTCCTCCTGTGTTGATTACCAACAGCGAGATCTTTAGTATAATGAGGATACTTGAGCGACGGATTGCTCAACAATAGGAGGATAACAGGACAATTCTCAAGGAAGCGGAGAGAATGAGGATGGAATTCCACAATCCTCAGGAGGCAGTACCCTCGGTCTTATAGCCCAAGATCCTGAACTTTGATAGCCCAAGATCCTCAGCGATCTGTCGTGAGATTCAGGATCCTAACAAAACCTTTATTACTCCTAATAATAGGGATCTTAGTAACTCTAGTAATAATAATAATTTTATAATTAACTCAATGGATCTTGACATAGGTTTAATCCTGATCATTGCTAAAGAGCTATAACAACTCAGGCAAATGATCTCAAGCATACCCATAGTAGTTCAACCGGTACCAGAAGTATCGCCCATAAGTCAGAAGATCTCTACATTTATTCCAGCGATATTTGATACTGAAGTTCCAAAATGCTTCCAGACCCCAGCATGAAGCCGTATGACGAAACTATAGATCATGAGAAACATGTGGCACAATATAGGGAAAGTGTCACACCCCCGAACCAGACGGAAGAAACGTCTGAGGGCTTACGTGACTAAATTTGAATATCATCACAATGAATATACATGAATCATAACATAAACATCGCCATGCATCAATATATGACATCTTACATTGTTCACATCAAGTACATTGTTTTAACATTACAAATCCATAACATAAAATGTTTAATAGTTTTCAAAAGCGCAACTCCCTAACATAATTGGTACTACTCCTCAGCTTACCTGTTACCTGAGAATACAAGTTATTTTGAAAATGGTCAATATATGGAATGTTGGTGAGTTCATAAGCAGGTTTGATATAAATAAATGTTTTGTGTAGTTTGAAAGAAAACAACCAAGAAAATCCGATATTTTCTGAAAAGACCATTGTTTATATAAAAGTGTGAAGATTCGTAAATCTATGCATGATGATTTCAAAACGTGTATAGTTGAAAAAAGCTTTGTATTAAAAGTACCAGTGAAAAATGTTGAACTTCCCCGAAAAACCCGATGTTTTCCAAAAAGAAAAATATCATATAACGGTTCGAATTGTTATCCCATCACGTGAATGATTTTGACTTACCTTGATTACTTGATTTATGTTGGATTTATTTATGTGAGTCGTTATAACTA